GTGTGACTCTCTACGTACTCGAATTGCTTGCTTGATTTCTTCGTCCCACCACTTCACTGCTCTCTTACAAACTATCAACTTTCTACCTAGAACTCTACTTGCTGTTGTGTTTACCAGCTCTTCCCACCCTTCTATGATTCTAGACCCGGCCTGGTCCCGGCCTTCGGCATCCTTCGGTGTACCCATTGCCTCTATCAACTCCGAGAGTTTCTTGTCGTTTATAGCCATCTCTTCTTGGAACTCTACCCTCGTTTCTTCTACTTCTAGCTTATCTATTCTCCATCTGTACATTTTCCTGCGTCGCCTACTCTGTATGACTCTCGTCTGTTGTAGGGCTGTCCACACCAACGCGTGGTCTGTAGTGCCTACATCCGTTGTGCATACTCGTACTTCAGTGTGTGTGTGGGGGGGGGATTGGTGGTCTGACAGCTCTGCCTGCGAGCGGAAGCATCCGGACTAGACCAAACGGAACGGCGACGGAAGAAACGCACACCACCATCTCGTCGGAAGACAAGAGAGACACAACGTAGCGACAGCACGAGTCCTCCTACGTTCAATTTTCCGAGTGCGGCCAAAACAACAACCGTTCCCTAGCGTGAACGCTTCGTTTATTGCAAATAAATCCGTAAGATCATACACACACCAAGAAGAACGTGAGGAAGGAAGTTTTTGGCAGATCGTCGGGCTTGCATCCGGAATGTAAATAATGACATGAAATACTGCATCCCAGCTCCTAGTGTGACGTTGGGCGCGTGCGGACAGTTTCGTGCAGGAGGCTTGCTCAATTGCTCACCGTTGGCGGCTCGCGCCCATGTTTCCGCGCCAGAGGGTACCGCGCAAAACGGCATACATTGACAACACCAGCGTGGTCAATATTGGGGCTCGGGAATCCTAATCTTCCCTCTACACACGATAGGCGTTAGGTGTGGGGGCAGGCTAAGGTTTGCTGTTGATTGCGATTCCTTCTTACCCAGTGGTAGGCGTTCATGACGACGTTAAACTCGAGATCCTGCCCGCTCTGGAACGTGGTCAGGGGTTCCCAGTTGCTGCTGGCGGTGCTGTACGTGTTGCTGCCCGAAGGTTTGTTCTGCCGACAAACAGGTGCAGAGTCAGTCTTTAATACTCTCTCGCTCTGTCTGTTGTCTCTCTTTGCTTCCATGCATGTGGAAGTGGAGAGCTAAATGTATGTGCACCATCACTACTGTCACCAACAAGTGAGCACGCTGTCCCACAAAGTCGTTACACGCCTGCGCCGTCGACGACATTTCAAGCAACAGCCTAAGTAGCCCGTCACACGGTGCAAAAGTGTGTATAGCTGCGATGATGTTGCATGAGCCGGGCCGGGGGGGGGCGAGGGCGTAGGTGTAGGTTGTTATACGATCCCCTCTTCCCCGCCTCGTCCATGATACCACACAACACCCTTGCTTTCTGCATGCGATACAACCTGCTCAAACAAGCTGGCTTGTACATGCGAGACGGGCGGGGTCTTTCACGCAACCACTCAAAGGTAGAGGTCGTCACGTGGGGCCCTGGTTCAGTCGATGGGTCACGGGGGGCGCGAGAATATTAATATCTACCGCCCAGCTTCGCGAAAAGATCACAATGAGCACACGACAACCCCCTGTTCCTACTGCCAGAAAACAACCCAGAAAAACAAGCAGTGCCTGGTACAGGTACGAACAGCTGCTCGGCGGTAGAAAGGGTCACGAGAAAAAGACGGGTATTGCGGTGGATGTGCCCACGCGTTTTTTCATTCACCACATGCATACCTGCTCGGGATCGCCGCACACGCCGTGGCGGACTGCGACCTCGTTGGGCTCGAGGTAGTTACCGTTCGGGGCCCGCGGGACGAAGGACAGCGGGAAGTCGATCCCCCCCCCGTGTTTTGCGAGCACGTCCGGGTCCATGAGCTCATTCCCCCGCGCTTTTGTCCCGTTGGATCCATGGGCGTTGTAGCACTGAGGGCATCCGTCGAAGTTCGGATCGTCCCTGCGGTGGAGCAAAAGAACGTCACGGCCACGCGAGCGTTTGGGGGTTGCGGGGGAGTGAGCGCTGAGTGTGGCAAGTTCGGGCTCCTCACATCTACGAACCACACCGCTTCGCTTTGTCGTCCCGCCGCTTCGCCCCGTGGTTGAAAGGAACAGACCAGCACCATTCAACGCGCGCCGTTTGGTGGGTGCAGGCCAACGCCTGGACCTAATGGAAAGGTCATCTGGCGAGCCCTCGCGACCCCCGTCATGATTGCTAAGGAAGCCGAATTCGTTTATTTTTGTTTTCACTTCAAATCAGCGCCCACAGCACTGTAGTGCCGTTTACTCCAATCCGTGGTCACACAGAAGAGCCCCTCTCTATCCTCCCCTTCTGCGGTACTTTGCCTTCGAGTTTTAATGAGAGAAGGGTAGAGTACTCTCTTCCCTCTGTGTACAATACACACCAACTACTGTAGCGCTATCCACTACCAGGCCAGGAGCGGAAGCGAGAGAACAACTCACCTTGCAAGAAAAGCTCGTTTGCGCCGGGATTCGGACCCCTGACCTGACCTCTAGCAGGTTTCGAGGATACACCGGGGCGCCCGAACTACTACCCGACGTTTATTAATGCAAATTTGTAGCCGATGTTCTGCATTTACTGCGGTAAACTATTACATGGGTCCTGGGAAACTCGCACAAGTTACATACACAGTTCGCTCAAAGCTAGGGTTTTCGGCCAATGGCCAAAGATGATTTCGTGTTTCTGCTCTTCCAAGAAATCCATTGCAAAAGAATGGCAGAGATGAAACCGTTCTTTGCCGTCCCTTCGTCTACCTGCTCTTCCGCGTTGTCACTTCGAGAAATCACGCGTCAGTGAGTTCGACTTCGTGGGGGAACTCACTGTTCGTTCACTCGAACCAAGTAAGGTTTAGACTTGTATCTACTTCCTCAGACATAGGTATTCGCATAGCAATCGACCGCCTAACAAGCAGGGGACAAAAACAAACCACAGCTTGTGGTAAGGAGATCGTTTTGATTTACTGTATTCAATCGCGCGGTTGCTACAGCAAGATCTGTTGGAGAACTGTCTCGGTTGGGTTGTCGTTCACGGGAAAGTCTTTTCAAAACCCGAGCGGCCTGTTTTCTCGACGTTCACTTTTCTTTGTACCATCCATGAACACGGTTAGTTACAGTTATGAGGAGACGGTCGGGAGAAAGTTGGGCGCCGTCCACGCTATCTCCGCCAGGGCCCAGAAGTGAAAGTACACCACACACGTGATGGTTGGTATTCCCTGTACACAGACTGCAGACCAGATAAACACACGCATTGCAATATTCGAACACGCATGAACAGCCGTCCGTTCAACGCCGGATCGTCGAGTCCCTCCTTCCCGATCTGTTTTGGGAGATTTCATGTCTCCTGTGGCTTCTGGGTAGCAGTGGCAGCTACTCAGTCAACTAACCTTTCAATAGCCACATAGCCTCTCATATCGATCGCGACTCCTCCACAAGGCTCTTGAACTTACATATCGAGGAAGGACTCGCTGTTCGCGAAGGATCGCGACATGGGGTATAGCTGGTAGATGTGGCCCTGGGCCTTGCGCAGAGCCGCCGCCAGGAGAACAGTGCAGAAGCGAGTCATCATCTGAAGGTGGTCGTCGGAGCGGCTAGCTGCACGCGCGTATGCGACAGCAGTATTTCGACGGTGACGTTCGTCAAGGATGCGGCGCTTGTCCTTTTGATAGCAGCGCAGGAAGCGTGGCGAACTCGTGGCGGAACTACTGAGAATACCCGTTCTCTCTACAGAGAATCAGAGTCCCTGAAATGGTGTTTCAACCGTCACCAGCGGAGATATTTGCCTCTCTTGATGTGCGGCGAGGACGCGCCAAGCGTAGCCAAGTCTCGGCTTAGCTAGTTCAAGTTCTGGAAAGGTGGAAGTGAGAGAGGGGGCGCCTTCGTGGACAATCTCCCCATCTCCGAGATTCACATGAATGGTCAAGGTATTCTATGGATCTTCCGGCTGCAATCTTTGGACGGTAGAACATTGTCCATGTACATACCGTCCGTTGTAGTCCGCAAAAAAGCTCAAAAGAACATTGGTCATGTACCTACATCATTAGTGCGGGACATTTTTCATGTATGTACACGAACAACAGACCATTGTGAATGCACAAATATTAGTGCCCGAAAACAACAGACGGGGTGTGTGTCCCAAACTACGCATACAGCCTGAACCGCTTTGATCTGGACAACATGTAATCATCAGTTACAATTTCCAGCACACAGGAAACAGCAGTGACATCATATACAAATACAAGGGGGATAACGCCGGCGACCGGGGGGGGCGGGCCAATCGTTCCCCTATTACCCTGACTACAGTGCCGGCCCGGTCGTGAGAGAGACCTGCGTAAGAAATCGAGACTCAGGATTTTGAAAATTCGTGGAAAAGCGCCGTAGAATTGAGCTCATTCGACGGAGAGTAGAAGAAATGGAATAATAAGAAAGGCACAAATTCGACTTCATACCACTACACCAGACACAAGAAAAAGAGGATTCAAGGTTGGCTGCAGGAAATAAGAGACTGCCTCCGCTCGAATACGACGGGGGGGGGGGGGGTGGTACTCATAGCCGTGCATGCCGTAGTCGTCATAGACCATTGACCTCGCATCCCTACAAAGCCGGGACGGAGAACGCCGGGTTCTCACCCGACAAGGCTCTCACGTCACCAAGCGCGAAGCGCCGTGAGGTATTCGACGAGTCAGATGAAGGGTGCGCTGCATCCTGCTAAGGATGTTCGACATCTTGTGCGTACTTCCTCGCGTACGGATGACAGCTGCGTATGACTTAATTTGTTTTCTGGTGCTTTCACTTACAGGGCGGGGGGGGTATTCTTTCCTCGCAAATAGGGTGGGTCCACCGGCGGAAATAATGGCGTTCATGAAGAAATCAAACGTCATATTTGCATGGTGGAAAACTAATATATGGCGAAAATTAGAAATTGTGCAAATATCCTCGGGAAAATACGAAATGACATTGTAATTTTTTGGAGGTAGACATGCATGCGATCATGGTTGACCATGGTTGACCATGGTTATTTGGCGCCGTCGGATGTCCTTAGACGTGACGTCATGCTATATGAGGGCTTTATGCCGAGGCATGTGCCCTTCTGTTCAGTGTGCGTGCAGACGATCTGGTGATCGTGTGTGCTTGGGATCTTGTGGGTTGGCTTGGAAAGCGTTAACCAAGAGAAAGAGAACAACGGAAAGCAGCAACATTCGGCACATGTATTCGGACAAGGGAGTTCCACACAGCACAAAGATAATAAATTCTAAAGGAAGGGGTCAAATCTCATTACAACCTAAGAAGTTCAGCTCACTATGGTGGCGGTAATCAGATTTGAGTCTCGGCTGAAATAGGTGTTTCTTACGAGCGGGCCGGCACTGTATAGCATTAAAATTATGAAGCAGCACACACCAACGGAGGAAATACGTTTCGACCAATGCGACCCCTGGGGGACTGTACCAACCATCACACGGCAGATCGAACCTCAGCGCAGCCGGAACTACTTGGTCCACCGCTGGTGTTAGTACCTACCACACGGACGGCTCATCAAGCAACAGACGCCCCCGAGGGGGTGGGGTGGGAGAAAAGGAACGTCCTCCTATACCCCATTCATCCATGCAAACAACCCGCAGCTGATTCCACTATTTACGACGGATGCACGAATTCTACATACCGAGACTTCAGCAAGACGTGCTACCAATATAGACTTCGTTGGTGTGCCCCACACAAGAAGACCGGTGCTGCACACGCGCTACAATATCGAGTTTAGCGACCAGCGATTGTTGTTACGATGCACGATAACCACTAATAATTCACTAGGCAGCGCTGGAACTGCACGATGACCATGGTGGCGTAGTGGTCATCGTGCACCTTAACAAAGGTTAAGGTTTATGCCCGAGTCCGTCAAGCTTTCTTTCAAACCACAAACAAACACGTCCGCCCCAGAGTTGCCACCCCTGTGGTCTCGGTCATATCTTTCGAACCCTCGTCTGACTTATCCTCATATGTCTGGCTCAAAAATTACCCTCGAAGGATTTCTCGAAGGATAAAATGCTATGGGGAGATTTGAACCCCGGACGAAAGCTTTTGTGAAGATGCACGACGACCACTAGACCACTAGTCAGCGCTGACTAGTAGGCTAGTCGACATCACGCCTCTAACATTTTTGACAGAAAAATGTCGTGAAAAATTCGTCAGGGTATCATTTTCTTCTTGAATGTGACCCCATGCGGCTGGCTGGCGAGTCGGTTGTTCACTTCCTCACAACCTTATTCTACGTCCTTTCACGGGTGGTCTGTGCTACTACGTCATCAAAATCTTTGGCAGGTGAATTCGTTATAGCAAATCTGTCTGGCGGTCTCCCGAGATTCGATGCCTGGCGGGTGACGAGATATTGGGTCCGGGTATTGCTGCCTCTCGAATCAGAATCAGGTACACGCTTCCTGGGTAGGCCATTGTGAACAAAGATATAGTTGACATGAATAGCCTTTTATATCCTTGTTCCTCGGCGTATAGTTGACATCCGCACCTTTTGGTTCACTTCACAACATGGCTTGGGCAACAAAGTACTTCGCCATTTTCTTGAGATGACGTCGGGCTATGCGGCAAAGTTGTCTCTGTTCCCAATTATTCCTGAGCATGAAGACGAGTTGTTTCCACAATACGGCTGCTCTGGGTTCGACGCTAGCTCGCATCGACCGTGTTACAACGGAAAGATGGATACACCCTGTGTTTGCGGGTAATAATCCCATTCACAGCCCTTAATCTTGTTTGCTGTGAATGTTGGGCGTATCAGCCGGGTTCACAGACGGGGAACGCCTCACGCGGGGAACGCCGCACAGGCGTGGTTCTCCATCTTTCTTCTGCAGTGCTTGCGTTCACGTTGGTCACGAAAATGAATCATGCACTGTTCTTTTCCCTCACTGACGAGCCGGGCACTCGCACAAAGTATGATCTATGCTCATGAATGATCAAATAGCGTTTCCTTGATCCGTGTGTGACTGTGACGAGATTCACAGTCACGCGTACCCAGCGTCGTCCGAAGAGAGTTTCGAGGCTACCAGCTGAAAATACCAGGAGGATTGCTGTGTGTGTTTCATTCCATCTTTCCCTCTCGACATCGCTATGACTGGGCCGCTTGGTAATGCTTTTTCTTGTACGCACCAGCCGGTTCGCGCGGACAGGAGAACACAAGACAACCACCGAAAGAAACATGAAAGCAATCAAGTTTTCACAGCAGACCTAATTATTGCGAACTCCAATCCCCTCTCTATCTCCCTATCCTCGACTGTGTGTACCTCTCTCTCATTCGCTCTCGCTCTCTCTCGGTTTTCCCTTCCCACTCCGCTGTTTGTTTCCTGTCTCTGTGTCATTGTTACATTCGTACGGTTCGATTGCACGTCGGAGACGATTCACAAGGTCAAAGCATGATGATCAACCCATCTTTACACGCACGCGTTTTCTTCGATGTGTTCAGCACAACCCGCGAAACACCCGAACACGCCTTACTACAATATGTGAGAGAACGTGGTCTATCACGTGTACAATGCCTGAAATCAGTCGCCATGAAATGGTCTGATTCTTACGCATTCTTCTTTCAACCACAAGACCACGGGTGCGTGTGTGTGCCAGTCAAGATCATCGGCGAGGTCGTTGTTCTCGAATGACACAAGTAGCGATTGAGGCAAGAACATTTTCAGATATGCGTTCATGAATCTCCCACTCGCCTACCAACCCCCCCGCTCCCCCACTTCATATGTGCGTGGATAGTGCCCCAACGGCCATCCTTCCGAACAGCAAGCGTGAGGCAGCATCGGCCAAGAGTGAACCGCTAAAGGATGACTGGATGTCCGGGGGGGGGAGAGAACCGTGAGTGGCCGTTCAGTACGAGAGAATGCTACACATTCTGTCCGTAGGTAGCCATCGTTGACGTCCGAATGGTGGGGGGCGTTTGATGGCGACGGCGGGGTCCGCGCTTAAGCTCAGCGGCCGTCGTAGTCATCTGGGCGGCACTCGGACCACCACTGGGAGTAAACAAACAAACAACGAAGAGAGCACGAAAGGACGATAGTTGTTTTCGTGGATCATTTCCGTTTCGGTAGAGCGGGCGAGCCGAAATTATTTCGCAGGATAGGTAGGACATAGCGGCTCTTGGAGGGAGGCAGGGTTTCCTGCGGAAAAAATGCTCTGTTGCGTTTTTGTTGTGGGTTGTTGTTCACATATGAACCGCGTGAAGTGAATGAAGTAAGAATGTTGGAACACGAAGTAGAGAGAACGTATTGCTGGACGCTGTATCACATGCGCCACCCATTTAAGAATTCACACACACACTAATAAAAAAAACACACCCTCCAGATGGTCGATCTCCCTGCACATACGTACCACGTCCTTCTTGGTGCACGTTGAACCGGAGACACAGCAGGTAGGGCCGGTCCAGACGCCGTCGACGGCGCCCCCGCCAGCACCGCCGCACTGTCCCCACTCCTCGGCACACTCCGTGGGTTCTTCCGGGGTGTCGTCGGAGCTGCTGTCACCCGTCGGGCGGCACTCAGACCACCACTGTCGTGACGGCACAAGAAAAGGCATGCGGACGCATATGGCATTATATTTCGTGTCTTCATGCGCAACAGGCAGTGTACGTGAGGGGACAAGAAAGGTGGTATGCACGAGCCACAGACACACAAGGGGGGCGACCCACTGCCCGATTGGAGAAAACGCTTTCATCGGTGGACCTATTCCCGCGGTGGGAAAGAGAAAAAAGCAAATTCGGATTGGCACGGAGAAAACAACGATGGAGCAGCGTTTGCTGCTGAAGCAACAGGCATTCTTGTAGGGAGAGAAGAAGAAGGCAGAGACAGGAACACGTGGAAAGATGGTTCCTTGACGTCAGCCACCATTCCCGCGGGGCACGGCAGCCGCGAAGACAAAGTAGCAGAAGCAAGCGGAGTTCCAGACCCAGTTTTCGTTTCGGTGTTCCAAGCTGCGCTCTCCCGGATGGAAAAAAGTGCCCAACGCTTGTTGACGCATCTCGAAGCCATCGTCTAGAAAAAAATGTGAGCCGCAACAAAGATGCGCACGTCGCGACGTTCACGCTCTTCGCGCGAAATGCTTACCTCGTCCTTGTAAGAGCAGGTGGTCCCAGACACGCAGCAGGTGGGGCCTGTCCAGACACCATCCACAGCGCCCCCGCCGGCACCACCGCTGAAGAGGGAAGCATAAAAAGTTGTACAAAAAAATAGGCGGTTGACGCGAAAAACAACATGGTGAAAGCGCCGGCATCAGGCAGGAGCAGTCCTGCCTTTCGCGATGACGGCGTCATGGTTCTGCTTCTACATCCAAGAGAGGGGTTGGGTGTGTGTGTCTATGACGATAGAGAGAGAATGATCCTATCCTTGTTTTTCGAGGAGAAAAGGACCGGCCTGCTTTGCCGCCATACTCCCAAACCGGTTCCTGTCGACCATCTCATCATCGGCGAAAGACCATCGAAAACAAGAACGGGCTACCTATATCTGGGACCACTCTTTGTTGCTGGTACGTGTGACTTAGCCAACAAGCTTACACATGCATGGACGCATAACAAACAAACGAGCGACCGAATCCTTCAAAACTCACCACTGTCCCCATTCCTCGGCACACTCTGTTGTTCGCGTTGTTGCCGTGGAAGGGAGTTCCAAAAACGAGCGGCGCACCAAGAAGCGGTCGATGGGTGGCGGATGGTCAGGTATTATGCGGAGATTCCAGAGGTCCGTCGTGCTCTTGAAACGGTGAACGCACGTACATCAGTATTCGTAACATATTGAAGTGCAAGGAGGGAGTTGACTACGGTTTTGTAGTATCTTGTGCTTGGTATTCGGGAGGACTTGCATAGGATTACTACTCGACTTCACGAGAGTTCCCAAATATCTTCCATCGCTGGGTGGTGGGTGGCAAGCGTCCTTCTCGCGCGTGTACGAACTCCACTCAAACGATCGACAGCCCTAGTGGTCCTTTAAAGACCAGGGTATGTGCCAAATGATAAACCCGGCCTTGTAGCAGGTGCCCTCAGGACGTAGACTATATCGGTTAGTTCAGCAGTGGAAGCTTCATTCCGTAACCTATCGTGTGACAAGGTGTGTGACACGCGGTGTTACCGGCCTCGTCACACCGACGAATAGAGAGGATCACCAGTCGTGTACAGCACGGCGCGACAATAACCATGAATCTATGTCTATACGAACTTTGGCCTCTGCACAAACAACTGTGCGATCAACAACAATAACAACAGGAAGCTTCAAAGGGCCGGAGTTCGTGACCCAATCCGGCCGCCCCCCCCTCTGCCCCTCACCGGTTGGCTCGTTAACCGGGGGAATGGTCTCCACCGAGGGGGTTGGGCTCGGCGGCGTCGCATCTGGAGGGAATGCAAGCAGAGGGTGGACCACCGGGCGTGCATGACTATCAGAGTGATGAGGCATCCGGCACAGCCTTTCTCCTGATGGCCGCTGAGATGGTAGTCTCACAACCCAACGGAGAAGAGCGTCAGAGCAAGGACGATGGGTATATATGGGTAGCAGAACCAGGGGAGTGGCACTGACCGCTCTAGGCTAGACGCGAGGTTGGATCTCTGCTCTCGTTTCCCTGCCACAGCAAGTCTTATCACGGGCGATGGACGTCTTGGCGGGACGGGAGGGTGGTATGCACATCAACAAAGAGTAAGAGTGTTGATTCGAAATACTCTGCGAGTTGATGTGAGGAGCCGGAAAATCGGCGGCGCATGGTTGGCTCTTGTGTGAATGACCGCATGGACCACATTCGTAGTACGGCAAGAAACATGGCGTGTGGTCATCATCTTCTGTCCCGAGCGATTCCAACCGCACACAACAACAGCAGAACTACATACAGACACCAGCACCCGCAAGACATAAATCCGTACATGCACCCCCCGCCCCCCGAACCTGTACCGAGCGCTACATACTCGCTCACCGCGCGTGATGCTAAAGTCGGAGCACGCCCAGAACTCCTCGGGGTAGTAGCCCCCCTGCCCGCACGCCTCCCGGGTGGTGTCCACCCAGTCTTCCTTGTTGGGGGCGCAGGCGCTAGGCCACGAGGGAGGGTTGAACTCTTCGTACCCGATGTGGTGGCAAGTGTTCCCGGTGTCTTTGTTGCCGACATTACATGTTATTCATTCGATACATACATAGCATTGACGCGCGAAGTGTGTGTGGGGAGGGTAAGACGTAAGCAATGACGTGTGTATGAGGATGTCAAGGAAACCTGGTTCGTGTGATGACGCGCAGAAAAGGAGATACACGACGCGTGGGCGAAATGCACTGCAGTACTCCTGCGGTTGCTTTGAATTTTGTCGCCAACGCGTTTTTTGTTATGCATGTTCTAGTTTCGTATCTGGCAGCTGCTGCCAACGTGCACCACACCCTCAATCTGATGCTCGACACAGAAACACCCGGTTCGGTCCTTGCGTATGGCGGTAGCAACGTACGCCGTCGACGGTCGGGGAACTCGTGGTTGCAACGGCGGTTCGATGTCGTATCCACGTGCGTACCGAACCTACTCACGATAGACAGGGTGGTCGAGTCATTGTCAGGGGGTCGTGCAATTAGAGTACACTTCACGAATGTTGTGTGTGATGTGAGCTTGAACAGCACTAAACTGGCAACTCGATGAACCCCACCACCACACACACCAGCAAGACTATCAACAACAACAACAACAACGAAAACTACAACGACGACGACAACGACAACAACGACAACAACAACAACAAACAACAACAACAACGACAAACAACAACAACCAAACGTCCCGACTCACGGTACACCATCTGCAGGATGCAGTGCGAGCACTCGATGTCCGGCAGCACGTAGCGCATCTTCATGTTCTCGCCGGAGATGGCGTGCAGGGGCTTGGTCTGGTCCACCTCGCCCGTCTGCCCGCGGCAAGTCGGGTCGCAATAGTAGCGCCCCGGGAAGTTGGGATCGATTGGACTGTTGTCATCGTCTCCTTCCGCGCGCGTGAGTGGGTATTCGTTGAAGCACTCTTGGGTGGGGATACCGTCGGGATCGTTGTCGGCGTTGCAAATGAAGAACTCGAGGTGACCCTGCAACAAGTATGAATCGGGGCGGGGGGGTTGCTCATGTCAACGCAGGCCATAGTCATTTGACCTTTGACCACGCGTCCTCGAGAGGACGGAGCATGTCGGGAGGGGGAGGGGGGGGGGGGTGAACACACGCCGTACACGTTTGGCCTTTGACCTCGCATTCCTGCATTGCCGGGGCAGTGCGATGTGCCAGGTTTCCGTCGGCCCGTGCCATTGATCGGGAGAGGGTCGGGGGGGTTATTCCTGGCCTAATAGCGCTGCCTGCACGAGGAATCCGGACCAGACCAAACGGAACAGAAACAAACACGAATGGCCACTCTCTTGTCCGTGTCCGAGACAAGTGAGTCCTCCAAAGTATAGTTGTCAGCGTGTGGCGAAAACAATAACCGGTGGCAAGGGCGAACGGGTGGTTTCTTGTAACGAAGTTCATACACACACCAAGAAGAACCTGAGAAAGGAAGTTTTTGCAGATGTTCGGCTTGCATCCGGAATGAAACCACGAGACGAAATATTGCATCGAAGTTCCTAGCGTGGCGGTCGGCGCAGGCGGACGGTTTCGCGCAGGGGGCTTGCTCAACTGCTCACCGTTTTCGGCTCGAGCGCATATTTCCGCGCCAGAGGGTATCGCGCAAAACGGCACATGCGGACAATACATACGTGGCCAATACTTGCGACTCCGGAGTCTCCCCCTACATACGGCAGGTGTTGGGTTTGAGGTCAAGCTAAGGTACTGCCTTTGAGTGTGATTCTTTCTTACCCAGTGGTGGGCGTTCATGACGATGACAAACTCGAGCACCTGCCCGCTCCGGTACGTGGCCAGGGGTTCCCAGTTGCTGCTGGCCGTGCTGTACGTGTTGCTGCCCGCAGGTTTGGTCTGCCAGCAAACAGGTGCAGAGTCAGCCTTTAATTCTCTCTCTCCCTCCCCCCCCCCCTCTCTCTCTCTCTCTCTCTCTGTTATCTCTTTTTGTCTCCGTGCGTGTAGAAGTGGAGAGCTAAATGTATGTGCACCATCACAACTGTCACCAACGCGTGAACACGCTGTCCCACAAAGTCGCTACACGCCTGCGCCACATTTCAAGCTACCGCCTCAGCAGCTCATCACACGGTACCAAAGTGTGCATAAACGCGATGATGCTGATTGGGCCGGGCCGGGGGGGGGCGAGGGCGTCGGTTTAGGTTTTACGATCCCCTCTTCCCCGCCTCGTCCGTGATACCACACAATACTCTTGTTTTCTGCATACGATGCAACCTGCTCAAACAACCTGGCTTGTACATACGCGAAACGGGTGGGGTATTTTTTACGCAACGACTCAAAGGTAGAGGTCGTCACGCGGGGCGCTGGTTCAGTCGATAGATAACGGAGGGCGCTAGAATACTAATCCTACCGCCCAGCTTCGCGAAAATATCACAATGAGCACACGACAACCCCCGCTTCCTACTGCCAGAAAACAATCCAGGAAAACAAGCAGTGCCTGGTACGGGTACGAACAGCTGCTCGACGGGAGAAACGACCACCAGAAAAAGACAGTTGAGCCGTGGGTGCACCCGCGCGTTTTTCATTCACCACATGCATACCTGCTCGGGATCGCCGCACACGCCGTGGCGGACGGCGACCTCGTTGGGCTCGAGGTAGTTACCGTTCGGGGCCAGCGGGACGAAGGCCAGCGGGAACTCGCTCCCCCCGCCGTGGCTTTCGAGCACGTCCGGGTCCATGAGCTCAATCCCCCGCGCCTTTGTCCCTGCGGATCCATGGGCGTTATAGCAGTGGGGGCATCCGTCGAAGTTCGGGTCGTCCCTGAGGTGGAGCAAAAGAACGTTACGGCCGCGCGAGCGTTTTTCCGGGGTAGGGGGGGGTGCGCGTTGAGTGTGGCAACTTCGGGTTCCGCACATCTACCTACCACAACGCTTCGCTTTGTCATGCCGCCGCTTCACCCCGCGGTCGAAAGGAACAGACCAGCACTATCCAACGCGCGCCGCATGGTGAGCGCAGGCCAAGGTCTAAACCTAGCAGAAAGGCCATATCTGGCGAGCCTTTGCGACCCCCGTCATGATTGCTAGAGAGGCCAATTAACCAACGTCTGTCAATCAACGCTAAAGTCAATGTTCTGGATCGACAGCAGATTATCATAGTAGGACGTTGTTAACAGAACACATGCGTCCAGCGAAACTAACATATTGTTATTTATGTAGTTCGCTGAAAGTTAGAGGATTCTTGGCCCATGGGCAGAGATGGTTTTCGTGTTCTGCTCTTGAAAGATTTTTTTTGTGGAAGAACGACAGAGATGAAACGTTTCTTTGCTGTCCCTTCGCCTACCTACCGGATTATGCTTTTCCGTTTTGTAGCTTCGAGTTCAAACAACCACCGTATCGCGCGTCAGTGAGTTCGATTTCTTGAGGGAACACGCTGTCCGTCCCACTCAAGAAAGCAGGTTTAGGCTTGTCTACGCTACATTTTCTCACAAAGAGGTATTTGCATGGCATTTGGGACGTTCTAACTTCTAACTTTGTATGGGATCGTCTATGCTGTAGTCAATCGCGAAGTTGTTGCAGCAAGATCGGTCTATGTAAGTAATGTCTCGGTTGGGTTGCCGTTCACAAGTACGAGTGCATTTGAGCGAACTTTCTGCAAGGGACGGAGCACAGACGGCAAGCCTTTTCAACGCGCGAGCCAAGAGCGGTACATGTACATGTAGTTCTCTCGACGTTCGCTTTTGTTTGTACCGTCTGAGAACGAACGGTGGGGAAATTGATGAGGAGACGGTGGGGAGCACTGTTGGGCGATGTCCACAATATATCTTCGCCAGGCCCCGGAAGTAAAGCACACCCTCACACGGTTGGTCATGCATGGCTGTTGCATGTGCGCGGGAATAATCCCGTCCGCCTGCACACAGATTGTCGAAGAGATCCACACACACACGAATTTCAATTTTACACACATGAACAGCGGCAAAATGCCGATCGTCGAGTCCCTCCTTCCGATCTATATTGCGGGACCGCATGTACATGTCAACCCTAACCCTATGTAGCAGTAGCAGCTACGGTAGAGTAGCCAACCTTTCAACAACCACACAGCCTCTCTCATCGATCGCGACTCCTCCATGACGCTCTCGGACTTACTTGTCGAGGAAGGACTCGCTGTTCGCAAAGGACCGCGACATGGGGTATAGCTCGTAGATGTGGCCCTGGGCCTTGCGCAGAGCCAGGGCCAGTACAACGGTGCAGACGCGAACCATGATCTGAAATTGGCTGTCGGAGCTGCCGGCCGCACGCCCGTGTGAGAGGGCAGTGTTTTGGCGGCAACGCTCGTCAAAGGTGCGGCGTGTGTGCCACTGATTGCAGCGCCGAGTACCATGGCACAACTCTCGTGCCAACGGAACTACTGTAATAGTGGATTGGTTCTTCCGCGTTTTGTTCTCTTCTTATATAACATACATTGGATGACGAATGCATGCAAACAGCCAACACGCTGCTGACAGAGAAATCCGAACAAAAGATTCTAAAACTTACACACCTTGATTCTTCTACGTACGGACGCCCAACCTCTTCACAGGAAGCTAGCTACCCCCCCGCTTGGTGATTCAAGGGAAGTGGGGAGGAGTTTCTGACGAGCGGTACCCATTCTTTCATAAAAAATATGAAAGCGGATCTTGCAAGGTTTAATTCCACTGCTGTTCCGAATTTCCCAACGGCAACAATGTTCCCGCTTGTGATCTGTATGCATCAAAATACTCAAGAAGTCGTAGAATAGCATGACCCACCGAAAAGTGGTGTGAATGTACGTACAAGTACTACCATCTCGGTTGCAAAGAACTTCAAAGTAGTATCAAAACATCGATCAGGTATTCGTCCATCCCAAAATAATGCCCGTGTTTGCCATCGGGGTTGGGTTGGGTTGGGTTTTCGTCGCTTTGCAGCGATGTTGCACTTCGTGAGCTCGGCAACCAGGTGGCCGCTTCTGTTTTTTACCTTTGATTTTTTTTTTTTGCTAGCCATGAATGGTGGTCGAGTTGGTCGAGTAGGTTATATGTTGTGGGGGGTCGAGAACCCTCACTCCGCGCATAGGGGATATTCACACCGCGTTGTGTTAAAAATGGTAAAGCATCCTCGAGGCAGTTGCATAGTGCTTATTTTATAACTGTCCCTGGAAGTGAAAGCACCAGAAAATAAATTAAGTCATACGCAGCTGTCATCCGACGCAAGGAAGTAAGCACAACAAGATGCCGAACACCCTTAGCAGGATGCGGCGCACCCTTCATGCGACTCGCTGAATACCTCACGGCGCTTCGCGCTTGGTGATGTGAGAGCCTGGTCTAGTGAGAACCCGGCGTGCTCCGTCCCGGCTTTGTAGGGATGCGAGGTCAATGGTCTATAACGACTACGGCATGCACGACTATGAGTACCCCCCCCCCCTTTAGAGAAAGGATTCAATATACATCCAGATCGGTTCAGGTGATGGCGCGGAATCTACCGTCACCAACACCGTACGCACCCTTGAAGGGCACTTGTGTCGGGTGAACTACACACATCAAGTGCAGACAAGGTACTACAGTACGATTTTTGATGTTTTTTAGGCCGTCGAACGATACTGACTGCAGTTAGCAACACATGTGCCCCTAATATCCCCCCCAACAATGCGGCCCTGAATGGAAGCCACACAGCAACATGAGAGAGCAAGGAGAAGAACAAAACAACTACGCATATGTACACACAGATCCAACTACCGATTCGGTACTCTCAAGACTCAATTCTTCAGACACAGACGTGAGGATACACTGCGTTTCAGACTCAGACAACGCTCAGGCTCAATCGGCAAGTGAATTCGCACACAAGTGGCGGCGTGATGGCAACATATAACAACCCTGATGGTTGTTTCAAGTCTGAACAAGTACGGGATGAGCGGTGAGAGGTGCCCTAAAAATCAACATTTTATGTATGATAGCAACACGGAGGTGACAATGGCCAGGGTACACTGGAATGGACGTACGTACAAAGATATCCCCCCACACGCAAACAAACAACGCACGGCAAGGAAATCAATCATCAATGGCGAGAGAGCCTTCATGTCACAACAACGCTAAAACTACGTGTTTCCTCCTTTTCCGCTGTCCCAACCGATTCAGTGCCGCCCCAGCCAACAACACGTCTCCAAGACGTTCTTCGTGATGCCTTCATACCCACAAAGAGCATCCCACTATCATGACACAACACATGGGAAAGCTGCAGGGACAAAAACAAACCAATCGCGTTTGGCACATCAATCGCGCTCGGCGGTTTGGTTGATGGGCCCGCCTCGCCAGCGCTGGCTTCCACGGCTGTTGCAACAGCACTACAACGGGACAAAAAAAGAATTAACAGAAAAACCGGAGCGTACAGGCACACTCGCGCGTAAAATCGAAACGAAAAGGTGAACAATAATCGCCGCTGAACCTATTATACAACCGCCGCGACGAGTCTCGCCGCGACGGGCCATTACACCATCACCGCCCTGCTTATCTTCGTCACATGTGCCCTAGGGGACAGACAGCCGAGGAGGCGGGGGCAGCACGCGCCCACATACCGCGCGCTGCTTGCTGGTCATGCTATCATACATGCTGAAAAACACATCAATCTTCCGGCGAACTACATGCGAAAACAGCAGCAAGGAAAGCCAGTCGTTGCGAGAAAACAACTCTCCCTTTTTCCAGCACACACACCCGTGGGTACCATTTTGTCGTGCACAAAAACACCACCCTTTTCGACAACTGCAGGGGGAGAGCATCCATCAACACTCAGGCAGGCGACGCACACGCTGCTGCTGGCGCATCTGGGCTCTCGCTCCCTCCCCCTACCGGCAACGTCAAGGAGGCGAACCGAAACCAAGCGTCGCTACAGCGGCAACTATCATAGCTACACTGGAGTCACGGGCGCTTGGCCATGGTGTACGCGAGAAGGTCTTGCTCCCGTATCTCGTCCGACTCGAGCCACTCCATCACCAAAACGTTCTTCCGCAGCAAGTCGTGCAGCGCCCAGTCGTGGTAGAAGGAGAAGGTGCTTCTCATTTATTTATTTTACGTTGAACCAGGTTAGAGACGTAACACCGACAACAACACGCAGCGGCAGGGAGAGGGGGGAGTATCGCGTTAAGGCGGCGTTGGAAGTGGTAGGGCTGGCAACTACAGCAGCGAAATGAGAGGCGATGGCTAGGTACACGACGTGACGTGACCCACGTCGCGACACCCACCAGATGACGTGCGTATGCACAGTCCCCCAAAACAAAAACACAAGATATAGACGCTGCAAGCACGATCACAGCACGTGCTAGGTCCGAAAGGAGGCAAGGAGATCAGAGCGCGCGCTGAGTTCACTTCCCCACGGCAAGGTACCCCTTCAAGTGCTGACTACGCACGCCACCCACTCCACTGCAAGTGCAGCCCGGCTACGCTTCCTACCCCCAAGCGGGGTCACTGTCAACGCAAGAGCGACCTTTCGCGAACCCAGTCTCCCAGAGCAAACATAACCCAAAAAACGACCTAGGACATATTACAGATTGCGCCGAAGCACTTCGTGTCGGCCTTTCTAGGGATGCAGCAGCATGGAGCAAATGAAGAACTGCGCACAGCCTTTTCGCGTGAGCACGACCACGCCGCCCCTCCCCATCCCCCCCCCCCTTCTCCGCCTAAAAAACAAAATCACCCGCTCACGAGCCTTGCATGAGAACAAAAACCACGCTCCCCCACGGCCACAACAAAAAAAAAAAAAACTCTCACCAGAAGGTAACGAGAACAGCCAGCAGAACGTCCAGCGTGTAGTGCAGCTTGGACCCGATGATCACCAGGGCCCCCAGGGCCACGTACGCGTAGACCGCCCGTCTCACCGCCGACAAGACGCCTTCGGACAGGTGGAAACCCCTTAGGAGGACCTTCGTCTGGAGCTCCGAGGCGCGGCAGTACCTCCGGAAGGTCATCGCCACCATCACCAGGCAGGTCGTGTGCCCCGAGAAGACCATGTCGCCGCTGGTGGTTTGTTTTTAACGAAAGGCCGCGACGGGGTGAGACAGTAGTAGCAGGGGAAGTTGTAACAACAACAACACAACAACAACAACAACAACAACAACAACAACAACAACAACAACAACAACAACAACAACAACAAAAGCTGCAGCGATGGTGGTAGCCGTGATCTTGAAGAGGAGTACGGTGTAGGAGGGGGAGGAGGGAAGGGCAAAGCATTTGGTAGGAACGTTGCGCGATTGGTAGTAGTTGGGCGCAAAACCTTCCTGTTCCGAGGACGTCGTGTGGTACCCTCTGGTTTGGGGCAGGCACGGCCAAGGCCACGAGCCGCCTTGCCTTTCGATTGGCCAGGAAGCGAGAGCGTGTAGAATACATCAATCAGTGCACAAGCAGGACAGAGAGGCAGTGAGAGCTGCGTCTACTTCGCGCGTCGCGCGGGGACGTGGGCGGGCTCTCAAGCACACCGAAAACCATCGGATGCCTCTCCGATTCTTCACCCGTCCATGAACGCCGGGGTAGTAGGGGAGTGACTAATAATAGTGTGTGCTGTTATGTTAGGTACTGCTGTAAACAAACGCAACTCTTTTCACAAACTCTTTTCACAAGAAAAGGAGAAAAAAAAAAACTTGGAGATCAGAGCCCGATACGACACGAGGAAAAAAACTCACCAGGTGACAAAGCTTGTGGGCGACCATACGAATCTCGCCGCCTCCAAAAATGCGCCGGGGAAGAGCTCCGCGATAGCCGCGTCCTCCTGTGTCAGGACGCAAAAAAAAAAAAAAGTAGGCACAGCAACAACCCCAGAGAGCGTCGGGTGGGTGCGCATCAAAAGCGCGCGTCCATTTATCCGTGAGCAAAGTTACACGACGTCGATCTCCGGCGACTAAATAAATAACATATTTTGCTGGTCAGTCGATTAAGCAAGCGTGATCGGTGCTAACAAATGCAGTGGTACACACGTATCCCGATAAAAGGCATCTGTCTTTACCAATGGTCAGCCAACTATTGATAGTGCTGCCGATGCGATCTCAAGATACACGCCCACATACACGCACCAGAGAGCGCATTCGCAACATTTTTTCCGCTGCTTAAGCCTGACGCTGTGCAGCGGTCAGCCGCAAAAATGTGGTTAATTCCAACAAGAGCAACACGCACACACATACCACATCATGCATGGCCTTTAGAAGAATTTCGTGTTTTCAAGCGCACCGAGACTCATGGGTCAGCCGGTTAGGGCGGTCGACGCTAACACACACACACACACACATCGCCCCCTTTTCGGGGTCCCAGTTCATGGCATTTAGAAGTGTTTCATGTTTTCTGGTCAGCCGGTTAGCGCGGTCGATGCTATTACTAATAATGACACACACACACACACCTCAAATCTCTCGCGACACACAGGCGACGCGTCCGGGAGCACCGTCACCGACACAGACACCGCCCGCATCATCAGCACCGTCCCGAAGATGATGAAGACCCTGCGCATGATCTTCAAGCGCTGCGGGTGGCACAGGATGAAGAGGTCGCCCACCATCCCCGCGAAAGACACCATGCGGTCTGGGAGGGCGTGCTCGTCGATGTAATCCGTGTGATGCCCGAGCCTGAAGTAGCGCCGTTTGGAGACGGAGCGCACTCATGTTAGGGTGGAGGGGCAGTGGTTTTCGGCCACGGGTGATGAACGTCTTGAGTACCTCGACTGCACGCGTTCGATGCTGGTGTTGCCTTGGCATTGTGAATAAAAACGTTCCGGTCTCTGCTCAGCACCTTCTCATTTCCGCCTGTACTGGACCGGTCTAACCGACGCGGACGCCTTCCATGGTCACAGGCCAAAACCAAGGGTTAAAACACTTTGAATATCCGTCGATTCAAGAAAGAAGGAAAGTAACGCGGGTCAAGACCAGTGCACCACATCAATAAAGTCGATTTCCCCACGCTTTGTTCCGCGTGGACTTCCAACCGTGTGCTACTTCCACTGTAGCTCGAATCTTAACACTCCGCACGTGTAGGTCAAAAACGTCACGAGTGCATGCCGTACCCTCGTTGCTGTTGTTCGGTCTGAACTTCGACAACATCTCCCTGTGTCCATCCATGTCTATTCAAAGAGGTGGTCACCAGCGCGCCGGCAATATATCGCCATCAACCCCACGGTACACCCCCCCCACCACCCCCCCACCCCGCCCCCCCAACAGGGCACCTGTTTCTGTTTCGGCAACACCTACCGGGTATCAAAGAGGCGGCCTGAACATGAAAAAAACAAAAAGTTGTTAGAATTTCGCGTTATTCTACCCCCCCC